GGAAAGGGAGCTGCTGTCCTAACTTTCGGGCATTTGGCAGGGAGCCAAGTCCAAACCGTCACAAAGAAGAAACACTGGATATTGCAAAACATGGTTAAAACTAACAGTTGGCACTTCTGGGCTTGTCCATATATCATGTGAAGAAAAGAAATCCCTTAGCAAGCCCAAAAGACTTTCTTAGGTTCAGAAGGTGCTGCCCCTAATTATGTTACAGAATAAATACCTGGTATTAATATCAATTTTATTTTTATTGTGCAGTTGCAAGCAGTCTCTACATTCCTCAATTTTCTTAAAGTTTTGATCCAGCCACCTGATTTGTCTTCTCTACTTGAGTATTCCCTTTATCAACTTCATCAGCTATTGTTTTCTCTTTTCTTCCCAAAACCTTATAGTTTCAGGATAGTAAATTTATTAACTTTTTTAGGTAATGTACACAACTTTTTTCCTGCATTGATGTTATTTCCTTGAATCCTTGAAGATATTTATACAGTTTTTTATCCTCTTAATCTCTTTTTCTCTAAGCTGTGTAAATTAAGTTTCTTTCCTTGCTCTTCCTCTGTGATATCCTCTAATCCTTGAATCATTTCAGCTGTCCACACTACCAGCATATATGTTTTCTGGGGGCTTGGAACATAAAAAGAAATGAAGGGTCCCCTGTCTGTCACAGCGTGTGCTGCTGTGAGCATGCCTGTTCTGGCTGGCCTTAACCAAAGGGAATTGCAATTCTTCTTGCACAGCAGGGCCCATTTGATTTATTATGTATTTTTATCAGGATTTGGTGCTATTCACGGTGCCAGACTGTTTATGCATTAGATGCTGTGTTTCCCTACCCAAAGACCTTAAAACAGAAGACTTTAATTGTGTGAGAACCTCCTAGCAGAGACCCCCTATGGAGAGAGCTACACATTAAAACTTCTCTGCTGTTTCTGTTCCTTTAGAATCCATACTTCAACATATAATGTTATGTGATAAATGAGGTTTATATTTTTAATGTATTTTGTCCTAAAATTAGTGTTTCAATAAGAGTATTTCTGGGACAGTGAGGGAGAAGGCAAATAGTTCGGATCATGCAACGTGCAAAACCACTGCAGTTTATGAAGGTCATGGCAATTTACATTTTTATCTCCAGATAATACAGAGATGCTCATCCAGATCATTTGGATATAGATATAGAAAATTTTATCTAAGCCAGAGCAAGATTATAGCATTGGTCCCTTAGCCAGTGATTTACAGTAACTGTCTTGTCTCTGAGGCAAGACATTAAATCTGCCAGAAATGCTTTCCTTTGTCTTCAGGTCTGAGTCTAAACAAATCCGTACATGTGACCAAAGTACTAGTAATGCCAAGAAGAAATATGGGTGTGCAGGTAGGTCACTGAGGATGACCATTGCTCTTCCAGCATCTTCTTCTCTCTTGATGTTGTCATCATAAATGAATTAGCACAAATGATGTGCTTGATTATATTAATTCTGTGTGATGTCAGAGGAATTCAGTATTAATAGGTGTAGAATTTCTCCAAGAATTATCTATTAAAAAAAAAAAATCTCATTTGGACAGAGAACAGAATTCTGTATTGCTGTAGCATAAAAGAGAGTGACTTAGTATAGCGAAAAATGATTGTGTTAGTGTTGATTATGCTGTTGAATATGTATACATGTGATTACAAATGTAAATGAGCAGTGTTATTTATTAAGTACAC